CCTGTCCTTGACCTACCAAGGCCTTGGCCTTGCACAATCCCCCAGACCAACCTAGCATCCTCAAGCTGGAAGAACGCTGGGGACCATCCAGTTCACTCATTTGCTAATGAGATGAGAAATGCAAGCTCACAGAGGGTAACTGACTTTGTCTAGGTCCCCATAGCCACTTAATGGCAGAGCCAGGCTTGGAGCAAAGCCTCTCTGCTCCAAGTCCATGCTTTTGTGACAAAACCATGCATCTGCTGGTCAGATGTGCTTTCTTCTGCAGCCTTCACTGGTGACAGAATCCGGGTTGCCCTGCTCAGGGGGAGGTGAAGGACCGAGCACTGTGACAAGGGGATCTTTGCCTTCTGTGTCTCTGTGCTTGTGCCTCCTGGGATGAGATGCTCAGATGGGACTCCTCTGTGAGCCACAGGTGGAGAGTAAAACGTTAAGTGCAGAAATATGATCTCATTCCCGAAGCGAAGCGCCAAAGTGTCGTAAGGACTTGTGGAAGGAGTTGCAGGAAATGGATTTTTGCCTCCTGTAACTCCGTCATCCACATCAGAGGATAAAGCAGTGGCTTACGACATTTTAGAGCCCCAATATGTAGGTCAGTATTCATGTGTGTGTTTGCATATGTGTGTGTGCACGTGCGTGTGTGCATGTGTGTGTGTGTGTGTGTGGTACATATGTGTGCTTCTATGTGTGCATGTGGTGTGGGTGTGTGCGTGTACATGTGGTGTGTGTGTATTTGTGCATGTGTGTGTGTGTGCTTGTGTGTGTGTGTGTGCATGTGTGTGTGTGTGCTTGTGTGTGTGTGTGTGTTGGGGGGCTATCTCTCCAACCATGGAGGGAAGAGAGAGAGTCATGTGGACCATTTGGAAGTCCAGACCAAATGTTTTGCTTGGGGGGCTGTGGTCAGGTCAGCTTGAGGCATCAGGACGGTGAGAGGCGCCAGGCCGGGGGTGAGGAGCACTCCATGGTGGAGGGGGCCTTCCAGGAGGACCATGTTGAGACTCAATGTCATCCCGGTGGGAACACTGCATGAGGCCTCTTACTCCATTGTGACCCACTAGGAATGTCCTGTGTCCTCTATTGCAACTTGATGCCTTCCCTTCCTGTCCCGTTCCCTTTTAGTTTGGAGGAAGGTAGCAGCTCTCTCTCTCCTGGTGCTCCATGAACAAGACCAAGGCCAAGGGTTCTCACCTTGTGACACCGTTTTGACATGCTCCTGCATGAGTCCAACATCCCAGACTGCCTTTTTTTCTTGCTTTTCCATCCTAGCCAAAGCTTCCCCTCCCTCCCCTCTTCCCAGTCTCCCACTTCCCCTCTCCCCTTGGAGTGCCTTTTTGAGAATGGGAGTAGCATGTCCTTGTTTGCTAAGTGTTGAACTGGCCCAAGTGTGTGTGCCTGTGGTCCCCATCAGGTAACCTATTTCCAGGTGTCCTCCAAGCTGGTGACATTTTTTGTGGACACTTGTGGGATATTTGTACATCGTGTGACAATGTATTGCCCTGACTGATATAATAAAAAGCTGAATGGCCAGTAGTCAGGTAGGAGGTATAGGTGGGATTTCCAGACAGAGAGGACTGTGGGAAGAAGAGAGGCAGAGAAGCCAGCCAGACGCAGAACGAGTCAGGCACACAGAATGAGATAGAGGTAAAACGTGGCAGAACGTAGATTAATAAAAATACAGGGTAATTTAAGTTATAAGAACAAGCCTAAGCTATAGGCCGAGCTTTCATAATTAATAAGAAGTCTCTGTGTCATTATTTGGGAGCTGGTTGGTAGGACAGAAGACTTGTCACAGGCACGTCTTTGTTTTCCTTTTCACCTGGGCGAGGCTGAGCACCTGTCCCTGGGCAGTGACACAGCAAGATCGCTGGCTTTGGTGTTGGGGACTTGGTGTAACATCCATGGCCACCTAAGCCCTTCTCCTTCCCCTGACTTTCTCTCACATGAGAAGTTTGTTTGCTCATCTGCAACAATGTCTCCCCATGTGAAAGAGTAACATGAGGTCACTAGGTTTGCCTGCTCATTGTGAGGAGTGAGTGAGGTCAAAGGGCATTTTGGGAGCTGGGGTTATAGCTCTGTGGTAAAGTACATCTGCCTGGCGTACGTATAAAGTTACACTTATGATCTCCAGGACAACCCTGTACCCACCAGCCAAACACACTTTGTAGGGAGCAGAATTCTCGTGGTTTCCAGGCCTTTGAGCATGGTTTGCAAAGAGATGACCACTAGGCAATCGTGAATAAGCTTTTCAAAACTGGGGTGAAAAGGAATCTGCCAGCTGAGGGAGGCATACTATTGAGCGTCGGGAGGTGTGCAGGAATGGAGAACAGGCAAGCATGGGTAACTGGGGCCTCGAGCCAGGTGAGACTGGTTTCTGTCACTAGACTGTGACGTAAACAGTGATGGATGATCACATGCTAGCTCCAGTGACTTCCTCAGCACACTGGGTAGGAGGGAACACCTCCTCAGATCCACACAGCCAAGTGGCACAGATGAGACTGGACCAAGGAGCCCATGGGCCTCACCTGTTCAGTTTCAAAATCCGTTATTTCAGCATGTAGTCCTATTTGTCTTATGTACTAACTTACATCATAAGGCCAGGTACCTAAGCACTGTGAAATTCCAAGCACCTTTAGCTTCCTTTGGGACATTCAGAGGTTCTTTTCCTTCCTGTTCCATTTATTTTGTATGCTGTCACAATTCATCACAAATTAGCTATTCTTTCCTACACCTGTAATATCCTTAGGTCTACATTTCCACTCCTAACTGCCACAGAGATTCATTTTATTAAACAATAATCATCCATCCAGATAGCCAGCCATCCTCCCGTGAAAAATCTAGCGCTGACTGAATACTAGCTGTTATGCTCTGCTCTGGAAGGAAAATGAAGATGAACCAGTTGCATATATCTCTCAAAGTATCACAGCATCCAGGAGAATTATGTCCTGTGCAGAAGTAGTAAGTTCAGTAGACTATAGCAATGGCTGGGGATACTCAGGAGCTCTGACTGGTTGAAAAATTGGGAGGAAAGTTGAGTGTGGTGGCGCGCACGCCTTTAATCCCAGCACTTGGGAGCCAGAGGCAGGTGGATCTCTTCAGTTCGAGGCCAACCTGGTCTACATCCTGGTCACATAGGGAAATCCTGTCTCAACAAACAAATCGGAGGGAGAAAACCTCCCCTGTAGGTGAAGGGCTGAGGAGGTCTCATGGAAGTGGCACTTGTACTGATGCTAATTGACATCTGTGGTTCAATCACCTTCAGGTTACTATGACGAAATACCTGAGGCAGTTTGTCTAATTAACAGTTTGGGAGATTGGAGTCCAAGAACTGGGCAGTGTTACTGTTTTGGGACTCTGGCAGGGGATGTGGATGGAATGTGTGTTGGAGCAAATGTCAGCATTCAAGGTGCAAGGATGAGAGAGGGGATCCCATTATCATAGCTCCAACGATAAAGGACCTCCTACTATGACCTACTTATTTTAAAAATATCTTAGAACTTGTGTTTGCTTATGTATTTGTATATGTCTGTGTGTGTGAGTGTGTGTGAGTGTGTATGTGAGTGTGTGAGTATGTGAGTGTGTGTGAGTGTGTGTGTGTGTGTGTGAGTATGCAGGCCTAGGAGCCCACACAGAGGCCAGAAGAAGACACCGACTGTCCTTTGCCACTCTCCATCTATTCCTTTGGGACAGCATCTCTCCCAGAACCTGGAGCTCATGTTTCCACAGCTGGAATGGAAGCCAGCAAGTCCTGGTGACCCTCCTGTCCTCACACACCTTGGGGCTGAGGTTGCAAGTGTTCAAGAGATGCCCAGCTTGTTATGCTGGTGTTGGGATCCAACCTTGGATCCTCATAATTGTGTACCAAGGGCCCTAAATGGTTGAAGTATCTCTTCAGCCTCCATGACACATCCTTTAAAGTTCCATAGAACTTATAATACCATTACCCTGGGGAACAAGCTTTCACAGACCTTTAGAACAGTGGTTCTCAACCTTCCTAATGCTGTGACTCTTTAACACTGTTCTTCATGTTGTGGTGACCCCCAACTATAAAGGTACTTTCACTGCTTCTTTATAACTGTAATTTTGCTACTGTTATGAGCTGTAATACAAATGTCTGCATTTTCTAATGGTCTTAGGTGACCCCTGTGAAAGCATCATTTGACCCCCAGGTTGAGAACCACGGCTTTAGGGGACAGGGACCTAAACTATCACAGCGCATTAGGTTTCCTCCCTTAATTAATAGTGTAACATATTACTACAGATGAACACAGTACCTACTTATCTGCAGGGGGAATGCAGTGGAGCTTCAGCTGGTCCCCCTCTTAGGACTTCACAGAGTTGAAATCCAGGTTCTGTGGGGGTGTGCTCCTTTGTGGAACACTCTGTGAATGCTCCTGAGCCCATTTAGGTTGTTGGCTGGATCTTGGTGGCTGTAGGACTAAAAGTCCCTCTTCCTTTCTGCCTATCATATAAGGCTACCCACAATCCTCACACACAGTCCCTGTGCCCCTCTAAGTCTGTTGTGTCATTCCCGCCTGGGTCCCATCGACACTTTAGCCCCCAAATAACACAGAAGACGCTATATTAATTATGAAGCTGTTGGGCGTTTGCTATTGTTTCTAATCAGCTAGCCCTGACTTAATCATTAACCCATAATCACCAATATATATTTTTATAAGAACTTAACTTTCCGAGAACGCCAGACTTGCGCCCTCTCCTCCAGAGATCACATCTCGACGACTCCCTTCACTACATTTCCCAGAATCCTCCTAGACTCCTAGTCCCACCTATCTTGCTTCCCTATTGGCCAACAGTGCTTTATTGACGTTTACACAGGACTTCCCCATCAACAGTCTCTCTCTCTCTCTCTCTCTCTCTCTCTCTCTCTCTCTCTCTCTCTCTCTCTCTCTCTCTCTCTCTCTCTCTCTCTCTCTCTCTCTCTCTCTCTCTCTCTCTCTCTCTCTCTCTCTCTCTCTCTCTCTCTCTCTCTCTCTCTCTCTCTCTCTCTCTCTCTCTCTCTCTCTCTCTCTCTCTCTCTCTCTCTCTCGATTCCCTGGCCCCCTGCTGCTGCTTCTTTTCTGATCCCAGTGTTCTGTGCTTTCTTGTGCTCACGTGATTGGATCTCATGAACCCATCTACACAACCCAAGAGCCTCAAGTAGTTGAGGGCCTGCTACCTTCATCACATTTGCAAAGTCACTTTTGTGACACTGTGCAATCTAGTTAGCAGACCCAGAGGATTGGGGCCCAGACATCCCTGAGGAGCTTTTCACTTGCCTGCTGTGGATGGCCGGATTACATCCGCTGAGTCATGAAGAAGGGCTCTTTGGGAAAGGGAGGGGAACATAGAAAACCGTGGAGTGAGAAGCCGTCCCTGAGAGGCAAAGAGAACAATCAGCCTTCCTCCAAACAATGAGCTGTGCATGCAAGCCCTTGGACAGAGAAAGACTTCAAGGAGACGTGGGCAGCTTCGGACGACAGAGACACTGGGGTCAGTTCTGCATGGGGATTGCTGTCATAACGTTTCACACGCTTGCGCTCCCTCTTCCCACGAGCTGTTACAGCATCGAGCCGGACACCTCCCACAAGTAACTTTCATTTGCTAACCCTCATGCCTCCCGCAAAGCGCTAGTCTATCACATGAATGAGATGGAGACCCGCGATGTGGACATTCCTTCAGAGAGGAAACCTGTTAACCCCGGGATGCTTTGTAAGATGCCTTTAAAACTTGGCAGTGTATCTCCCTAGCTTTCCATGCCTATTTATACGCTTCCTCAATGTTATTTTTAATGGGTACGTAATTTTCCATTGTATAGATTGAACCATAGTTTATTTAATGAACTCTCCCAGTGTTGACATTTGGCTTGCTCCCAAGTTGTCCTGTTATCATCAACAAGACTGAGATGAGCATAACAAAGATGTGGTTTTTTTTACAGACACGTGAAGCAGGATGTCCTCAGACCCTCAGCAGGGATGTGGGAGAGGTGCCTGGAGGTAGTCAGAGCCTAGGGCTGTTTGCCTTGTGCCTCCATAGGGCAGAGGGCTTTTGGTAGAACCACCACATACTGTTCTGTCTTTAACTTGATCCAGTGACTCTTGCAGGCTCCAGGTGGGACCCTTGGCGTACAAAAGGAGAAGGTGCTGAGTCTCGGGGTGCTGTGCTATCAGGGGGAGGGGTCCTTGGAGGAGGAGGCACGGTTGTGCAGTGGGTTCAGGTTGGGACCGGCCCGGGGTGTGAGATTGGCAGACTGCTGGGAGGCTGTTTCCTTTGGAATGGAAGGATGTGGCAATGGGCATGTTTGCAGGGCTGGGGGGGGGTCATTGTGGAAGCACTTGTTCAGGATGTGCAAGGTTGTGGCTTTGGTTGTCGTCAGACTCACAAGATAAAATAAACACTAAAGGCTACTTTGCTTCCATGTTGCCGCGGAGGTGGATTCGGTGGAGACGGTGGAGACGGTGTCTCTCCTGTGCCCACTTTATCCCAGCGCCTGCCTCTCTCTTCCCCCCTGCATCCAGAGAAACCTCAGCCAGCTCAGTGGGCTCTGTCCATCCATCGTGGAGCCCGAGAGCAGAATTCATAGAGAGTTCCATGTGTGAAAGTCCCCTGTGGACCTGACTAGGGACCAAGAGTGACACATGGCAGCTAGCCGGGATCTGAAGAAACATTCCAGGAGCTCTGCAGGCAGTGGTTGGCTGCCACTGCTCTCTGTGGTTTCCCTAGTATGGAGGCAGTGAGTCAACCAGCTCTGGGCAAGGAGGGAAAGGAGATAGGGGCTGGGGCTGCTAGTAACTGCTCATTTCTGAGGACCAGAGAAACCTCAACCAGTTCAGTGGGCTGTGCCTGTCCAGCGTGGTGCCTGAAGACAGAGTTGATAGAGCATTCCGACAGCCAGGACAGCGCAGAGCAGTGAAGGAAGAGGTTTGGCCTAAGGAACAAAACATGCTTGTTTTTCTCTTTCTTCCCAGGGCATTAAAAGAAAGGAGTGACAATAATTACACTCAGAATCCAACTCAGGACTACTTAAAAGGCTTCTGTCTGCTTCCTCTGTTCCCCCCTGTATAGCTCCCTGTAGAAAATGGCTGATTCCTGTAATGAACCATGAATGTAAAGGCAATTTGGAATGATCGTGCACACACTCATTTGCTGTAGCTTTGGTGCTGTTTGTATTTGAGCAGTGTGCTGGCTAGTTTTATGCATCAGTTCCTGCCTCCAGGTTCCAGACCTGCTGGAGTCCCAGCCCTGCCTGAGTTCCTGTCCTGACTCCCTTCAGTGATGAACTATAGATGGGAAGTGTAAGTTGCCACCAACTTGATTTGGTGACGGTGTTTCACCACAGCGGTAGTAACCCTAACTTAGAAAAATGGCCTGAGGATAGTAGGGTATTGCTGTGATAGACCTGGCCATGTGGTCTGGGGAGGACTCTGGGAGGATTTTGGAACTTTGAGCAAGAGAAACCATTAAGTGTTCAATGCTTGGTGCTGTGTTCTGATGGACTTTGGAAGATAAAAATGTGGACGGTGGTGCAGAAGAGGAGGCCTGGCTTGTGATGTTCCACGGGGAAGGCTTGAGAGCCCGTTAAAAACTTCCATCAGGACCATTTGCTATTTTGAGTTGATAATCTGTGGTTTATGGTCAGCTGGGGCTAAGGATCAGCTGTGATTAATAAGAGACCAGAACTACTGAAGTGAAACCTTTGCTTTATTGGGACAATAGATGCTAGTCAGCTGGGGATAAGAAATTAGAGTTGACCAAGAAGAGACAAACGTCACTGAGGTGAAATGTTCTGGAAAATGTTTCCTTAGGGTCAGCACACAGAAGTTGGGTTCCTGAGGAGGCCAAGGAGGCCGCTCTTGCTGTCAGCTGAACTTCATGACGTGTAATGGTCACCCAGGTGGTGCTAGTTTTGAAAGCATGAAGGGATCATGGAGAGCAGGCTTGGCACTATGGGGCAGGGCTGGAGTCCCTGAAGGGAGCCTGTGAGAGGCTATTGGTAAAAGTGCAGCCCAGTTGCCACAGAGACCCCAGCATTTTGAAGATGCCAGTGTCATGGGATGACCACCAAGAACAGCAGCAGTATACATAAAGTAAAAATAAATCATTTTTAAAAAGAATATGTTTTTACTGTCATGTTCATATTCATGTGATATCTTGCTGGATGAATAAGAAAGAAAAAGTTGTGGATTAATGGTGATGCATTTGTATGTCAGGTTGACAAGGGGTCAATTGTGCTGGCTAGTGTTACGTCAACCTGATACAAGCTAGAGTCTCTGGAGAGGAGGGACCCTCAACTGAGAAAATGCCTCCCTAAGATCAGGCTGCAGGCAAGCCTGTTGGGTGTTTTCATAGTGATGGATGTGGAAGGGCCCAGTCCATTGTGGGTGGGGCCATCCCTGGGCTGGTGGTCCTGGGTTCTATAAGAAAGCAGGCTGAGCAAGCCATGGGGAGCAAGCCAGTAAGCAGCGGAACTCCTCTATGGCCTCTGCATCAGCTCCTGCCTCCAGGTCCCTGCCCTGCTTGAGTTCCTGTCCTGACTACCTTCAGTGATGGACTGTGATGTGAAAGTCTGAGCCATTTGGTCGCGGTGTTTCAGTGCAGCAATAGAAACCCTTACTAAGACAAGGAGGAAGCTGTCTCTCTTCAAGTCCACTCGCTGTGTTTGTTATAATGTTAAGGGTTCCACAGTGAGGAACTGGCCATAGGCCATCAGGTCCCATCAAGAAGAGCAACATCGAGAAAGAATGAGGGTGCTGGACAGCAGTGAGGGCCCTCGCATTACCTTGGGACGTTCAATGCTAAAGGGGGTTTGCGGTGAGTTTTGTGGACACGTGCCTCCATGGAGGTTCACAGACGGGCCTGACACGGCATGGCTGCCGCCTTTTCTCCTAGTAAGCTGGAGTCCACTGCAAAGCTAGCTAAATCCCTCATGTAGTATATCGTCTGCCCACTGTTGGGACAAAACACCTGACATCCTTAACTTAAAAGGGAAGGGCTAAGTTTGGCTCATAGTTTCAGTACATGGTAGCTGGGCCTGTGGCTACCACGTATGTGTGTATGTGCCAGGGTCATGTAGCAGAGGAAATCTCCTCATCGGGGTTTCAACATCCCCGATTCACCACTAAGGACCAACTCTCTTCAACTAGGCCCCACCCCTTAAAAGGTCCTGCCATCTTCCCATAATGCCTCAGCTTTGGGGTCAAACCTTTGGAGGATGTTTTGAGAGGAGACTATATCCAGCCTGGGAGCTTGTGAGTTCCGAATAATAAAAACAAATTTGAAAACCCACTAGAGAGGCATTTTGCAAATGATCTCTTAATGAAAATGGAGGAAGGATCAGTGCTTTATTAAAGGAATCTTTACAGCGTTCTGTGGGGCTAAATGTATTCTGAGAAGCTTTGATGAGAGCAGCTGAGTCAGCTGAGCTCATGTTTGAAAACCCTGCTCCCGGGTCCTGTTACAGAGATTCGGATCCAATGAGTCTACTGGGGTCTGAGAGGCCGCATTTTAAGGGGGCATTGGTTGGGGTGCTGGTCCAGGGGCTTCACAAATATAAACTGATGAAACTGCCTAGGGAGAATGGGCCAGGTGCTGTGGGTACTGGCTATTCTGAGAACAAGCCCAGGAGTGAAGATTGCCTCTGCCCATTCTGAGTGAGAAAATGGGTTAGGCTGGTTCCCATAGCGACAGGGAGGCCACGGAAAGAAAAAGGGTCTAGACAGTGTGAGTGGGCTGTCTGTAGTGGGGAAATTTGGGGTTTGATCTTTCAGTTGTGGCAACTTAAAAGGAAATGAAGGCCTTTGGACGTAGGCGGGCATGGAGAGTGAGACTTAGCCTGAGACAGAGACATAGAGAGCATGGAAGTGACCTTGGGGGAAGGATGGATGGGCATAGGAAACATGACCAGCATGTGGGGGTGGGGGGGTGCACACACCTCTGGCACCGATTCCGTGCCCTGGGCTGTATATATGCCGTCCCATTCACTCCCACACAGCACTCCAGGACAGGTAAGAACATTCTGTTTCTCCACAGAAGGAGGTGCTGGCTTCCAAAGGCTGCCTTCCAAAGGTCAGGGTTACAGTCCAGGAGCACGCAGTCTCCAAGCCTTTGCTTCTTACCAGGTACTTCTTAATCAAGATGCTGCTGTGTAATCACAAGTATTCCACTTATCTACCATATGATCGGCCCTTACTAAGTGCACGGAGCCAGGGGCTGCCACTGGTGTAGCCACCGGGAAGGAGTACGTTCTGGACGTGGAAATCAGCGGAGGCTCAACCATCACTCGACAAACAGTTGTAAGATCTCAAGAGGAAAATTGCTGGCTGTTTGAGAAAGAAAGCAGGGAAACTTAATTTAGCCTGGAGGGTCAGAGAAGAACTCTGGGAATGTGATATTTAAGGGAAGACTTGAAGGATGGATACGAAAGCAGGGGAAGAATGTTCCAGAACTTGGCCGTCGAATGGAATCTTCTGCGATGATGGAAACATTCTGTATCATGCCATCTAATCAGATGGTCACAGCACATGTGGCTACTGAACTATGTCCAATGTGACCGAGGAGCTGGATTTTCCACTCCTACTGAATGCCAATTAACTTTGACATATGTATATACATGCATGTTTGTATTGTGCGTGTGAACGTTCATGGTGGTGTACACGTGTGAAGGTCAGAGGGTAACCTTAAGTTTTGTTCCATGAGGATTTCTATTGTTTAAAGCAGTGTCTCTCATTGGCTTGGACTGTTGCCATAGAAGCCAGGCTACCTGGCCCTCAAGCTTCTATGGACCTTCCTGTTGTCTCCTCCCATCTAGCCATCACCATGGTTACAGGTGTGCCTGGTTTTCCACTCCTGTGAGCTTCAGTTATGGGGCATGGCTTTATTTCATGTGAGTGAGTGGTAGAGGCAGCTCTGGGAGATGGACAGACAGTGGAAATAAGGAGCATGTTTGGGGGCACACCAGCACCCTGTCTTGATAATAGGCCTCCACTGTAAGCCTCTCTGTGTGACAACGGGTTTATCTCTACCTCCTCTCCCTAAGTTAGGCTGCTCAGGACTGAATGATTCACAGGAGACACTTGAGTCTACCTTATGGAGAGCATTTCCTATTCCTTGTGCTTTCTTGGGATGTGGACAGGTGAGCTGTGACTATGATATCCCATATATTACACCCCCTGGTCAATACTCAGGTTTATTGCTCTTACATTTAAATTGTCACTACACTTAACAGAACAACAAGGAAGGCTACTCGTAGCTGAAGGCTCTTCAATGGTGAATACCATGTTCTCCCATCATTTTCCCCCATTGGAATCTTTTAAACCTCACAAATACTTTTGTTTTTAAATGAGCAGCTTTATCTCACAGTAATTTCGTGATCCAAGCATCAATCCTGTCTGCTGGACAAGGGCATAGGCAAAGAGAGGTGTAGCATGAATTGGGTGGGTTAGTAGCTGAGCAAGACAGAAACCCAGGTAAACTGACTCAGATCTCCCTGTTCTTCTCAAATCTAGAAACTCAGGGGACTTGCATCACGTGGAGTTGGTCCTCACACCTTCCAGCTGTAGCTAGATGGTACAGCTTTTTGACCTTTCTTGGCCCTTTGGTCATTTCCGAAGCTGCTGACAAGGGATGGGGCCTGTGGCAGTTTTAGTGGTCGGTCTGACATAGTCCAGAGTCACGTGAGAAGGAAGTGCTGGATTGTCTAGATCAGCCTGGCCTGTGGGCATGTCTGTCGGGACTGCTTCAATTACTAGGTTAATCAATGTAGAGAGACTCAGTCTGCTGTGGACAGCACCTTTCCTAGGCGTGTGGTCATGGGCTATACTAATGGAGAGCACAAATGTGCATGTATGCATTCTCAGTTGAGATGTAGCCAGTTGCTTCCAGGTCAGGATAGCAAGGGAGTCAAGGCAGGAATCACTAACTCAAACAAGCCCTTTCTGTCCAAAGTGGCAATTTGTCAGGGCATATTATGACAGGAACAGAAAAGAAACTAGGACAGAGCTACATGTACTACAGGGTCTGGCTGTGTCTCCACCCTGCTTGCTACAGGGAAAGCATCTCTGTGCACACCAGGATACAGGCTCATGTGCATTACGTAAGTCAACTTCAAAACTGTCCTATAGGGTTACTATCTTTCCTGAAGATGGAGGTCGGGAAAGCTATAGTAAATGTAAACACAAATTTGGGTGTTTGCTGTTTGACCGACTGAGAAGCCTTGGGCCCACACAAAAGCCTGCATAGGGATATTTGCTGAAACATCAGCACTTGCCATAGCTTGGCAGCAAATCAAGTTGCCTTTCAGTAAGCGAACGGATAAAGAAATCATGATACATCTAGACAATGGGATATCATCCAGCACCATAAAGAAGGGAGCTATGAGTCCATTAAAGACACAGAGAAACCTTCTGCTTGTCACTAAACGAGCAAAACGCATTTGAAGGGGCTACCTGTGGCACGAGTCCAGCTTTGTGGCCTTCTGGAAAAGGCGACGCTGTGAGACAACATGAGGACTGGCAATTAGAGGCCTGGAGGCAGCAAAGGACACACAAGCGAAGCCAGGGGAGGCAGATTTTCAGGGCGGGAAAGTCCTGTGTAGCACTATAGTGTGGGGTGTGTGTTAGACACCTAACGAAACCTACGGACTACACAACTCCAAGCATGAGCCCTAATGTCAACTATGGCCAGTGATGATGTGTAACTTTAAGCTCATTAGTTGTAAAAATGAACAAACTGAGCCAGACTGGCTGGGAATACTGCAGAGGGGGAGGCTGCGTGAGCAGAGGCTGGACCGTTGAATCTGACGCAGTTCAGAGTATAGGGCTTTGCTCTGTGCCACCACTCATTGCACGGAGGTCACCCGGGATAGGGCTGTGGCTTTGGGGGCAGGTAACTCTCGTCTGTCAAAGCCATTCTGGAGGGGCTTTCGTTAGCAGCACCTCCAGAAGCCAGAGAGAGTCCTTCAGCTCTAGGGGTCGGGGCAGGTCTGGGCAGCTCACCCTTGTGTTTCTAGAGGTCCATCTTTTGTGCCACTCTTCTGTTCTGACGCCACGTCACAAGAACCCAAACTATCCATTCCTTAGGATGCCGAAAGGTCAGAAAGCACCCAGGAGGTAGAGCC